AAATATTCGCAGTAGAAAGTAAAACATTTTTGGTCTGACGCATTCCGTTTACAGCTGTGCCGCGAAAACTACTTTCTTTATTGGTAGAAGAAGAGTCATAAACAAATTTTTCAGCATTCGGATTGAGACTGACTGTCGTCTTCTCCCCCCCCCTACTTCCGGCTTTGAAATATGAGCACTTTCGGATTTATTTTGTTTTTCATTTTCGAAATGTAATAGCGTTGAATGCTTTCGTGAGCATTTTTGACACCGATAATTAGACGAACACGTTCGAACGGAATGGTTTTTCAAACAATTAAAACAAAGCTTATTTCTTTTCACGAATTCCCACCTGTCATTGACAGAAAGCTGTATAAATTCCGGACACTTATATAATGAATGGAATTCTTCACCACGGCACTTTATGCATTTCAAATTTATGTTTTTTGTATTAGAAGTGGATATCATACTCGTAAGTTTTTATGTGGAGAATTATTACTCTTTTTTACCTCCTTTTTTACTATTTTGAAGCGTTCTCGCTTGGCTTTGTAAAAACGAAAGTAATTGTTCAATCGTACCAAATTCTTCCGAGTTTTTTAATTCCTTTTCCCACCAGTATCGAGTTGATTTATCAAACTTATCCACTATCAAATATATACTATCATTATTTCCAGATAAGTTTTCTACCTTGTAGTTTAAAATATTTAAAGTTCGAATACATTCGTTCGTTACATCAATTAAATTTAGAATAGAACTAGATGTCTCGCTAATACTCGGCTGATTCAAAAGCTTTTTTATTATAGCATTTAAAAGCTCACGTTTTATTCGAATACCTATCTTCTAAAAGTTTCCAAGCTATATCGAAATTTGTATCCGAAATAGAAATAGACTGTATTACTCTCAGAGCTTCGTCCTTACAACTAGCTTTTAAATATTGCAATCTCATTGCATTTACTCGAAATAGATTTGTTTTCTATTACACTAGCTTTAAACATATCTTTAAACATTATCCAATTCTCTATTTTACCATTGAATGTCGGTACCGATAGCGTCGGTAACTTAACATCCGAAAACACATTTGAATTATTATTACTCGGCACAGGAGAAACAGAATGTTCAGAATTCATCTTATTTTTTACTACTGCTAATTTACGTTTAATCATCAATAGCAAACTCATCAACAATATCATCTGTATCTTCTTTATCCTTAATAAAGTTATCCAATTCTTCGGGTTTACATGTTTCGAAAATTGAATGAAAATACAGATTTAAGTTCGTTAGAAATTCATTAGTTTTGGTTTCAAATAGCTGCAACGCAAAACTGAATCTGAAACATCTAATGACGAAAAAACTTTATCTTTTATGCCTCGTCAGTGAACTTTTTAACACTCTTTTTCTAGTTTTTAGAGCTTCCATATTTATAACAGTTATACTCTTCAAATTTAATAGAGATTAAAATGGGAGAGCTCACCTTCGATTCTTGACGGACCACTTGAACTGTACTCAGGAGCTGGTTGACTTTGTATTTAATAACAAAGATTATCATCACAAAGATATTTACTTTATTATACATTTATTAATCATTTTGTTGCTGTAGAGGAACGATCTGGCTCCAAAACATTTTAAATTCTCAATCACAAAGCTGTAAGATCTGTTACAGCAAGTACACAAAAGAAAAAAATACTCCATTCAAATTACGTAGGTCGAGAGTATAACGCGCTAGCAGCGCCTCCTGTCTGCAGCTTAATCACTACTGAACATAAAAAGATGCATATAGATGAAATATTCTAAACGTAAAATATAAAATAATTTAGCATCTATATAAAAATAATGCAATTTAATTTTTGATAGGCTAATAAGTGAACTAGATTTACATACACAGTTAAATTAAGTTATTTGAATACGGCAAAGTGAATAGCGGCTATTTACTTTCGTTGCCTTCGAGGAGGACGCTCTAGGAGAAACTGACTCGAACTTACATTACACGTAATAAAAATCATGAAAAACACCCATGTGGCTAGGTCAGTGCTCAGTTATCTTAACCACTTGGTTGCAAGTGGAGTTATACGTACATAGATCTTTACCACAGAAACATCGAGAAGATGCTTTACATTACTAATATACAATTAAGTAATATCAGTTAAAAATTCCACGCAAAAGGGTAATTTGTCCAAAGCGTTGCCTTCTGATTGAAAATTTAAATGTGCAAACGAAGTCAGAGTTGATAAGTCCTAAGAAGTAACACTGATAGTCAGACCTGTCAGTCTAGTTCTCTAAGATATGTTTCGTCATACGATATGTTTCGTCATTTTTCTGTAGAAAGCAATCAACGTTTTAGCCCAAATAGGTTGTCAGTCTCGAAACGGGATTTTGCGCTGAATAGCTATAAATATCGTATACTTTTTCAAGTTGTTGCCACCAAATATTATCACCCTGTGTTATTTTTAAAGAAATTAAATAATTAAGAATTTGCATGAATATATGAATGTTTTTCGCAATGTGAAAAAATGACTGTATATAGAGCCATCAGAATTTGAATAACATAAGTCCTCTACTCGAACGTGTGGCCTTCGAAGTCCGAATTTTTAATTTCGAAATGGTTTTGTCACCTATTTCATATTTTTAAAAAATTTAACGAATTTTTAATTAATAAACTAAAAGATTTGAAAGCGAACAGTAGCTGCATGGAATAAAACATTTTTATCTCCAACGCGCTAGACTGTATATCGAAAATTCTAAACATATACTGTTTTTAAATATCTGATGATTTTAATGTTGAGTTGAATTTTATGTGGCGTAAGTTCGAAGATTATGATATTTAATAAATAAAGTCAAATCACAAAACGTTAATAATAAAAAGACAAAAAACACTTTTTCTAACCGTCTTAAGGAGAAAACTTTTATTGATATGATGAACTGAGAAAAGAGTAAAAAAATATAAAAATGTATGCCAACACTTAACACTGCATCAGAAATCCTAAACTTTGTTAAATTGAATAAACCTTTTGTGATTTTGTTGTTGAATTGTATATGGCGTAAATGTAAAGGAAAAGGTGCTTAATAATGAATCCTTGTGTAATACTTATGTGTATACTTATGTGTTACTTTTATTAATAATATGTGAGAGGTTTGAATCCCGCGAACGGGCTGGGTGCATGCGCATTTTCGTGGTTTTACCCATGTGTAACGTGTATACGAGTCAGTTTCCCTTAGAAAGTCCTGCACGAAGGCATCCCTCCCCTTAGGTAGATAGCCCTAGTGTGCTTAGACATAATTTAATAAACCAAACCAAACCAAACTTTCCTCAATAAAAATTATAATGAAGCTAACAAAGCAAAAGAAATGGGTTAACTTGAGTGAGTGTACTTTCTTACTTTACATATTGCACTTCTTAGTTGCAATATTTCAATAAATTCATGAATGCTCTCATAAGGTATTTCTCACGCCTTCCTAGCATACCTTCGTGGTGTAGTGGTCACCACGCGTATTCGAGGAGTCTGAGGTTCGAGTCCCGTCGAGGGCATTGCTCATTTTCACGATTCTAGCAAATGTCTGGCAAAAAATAAACAGGCTGTAGAGACTCCAGCTAATGTCTCTACAGCCTGTTTATTTTTTAATTTCAAACATGCTTAAATTTTATACCTTTTTGCACATTTATTCAAAGGCATTCAATAACGAATTGAAATAAATAAATAGTGATTAAGGAAAATTGTTAATCTGACAGTTTACAATATTTGTTGCATTAAGTTCCGTTTCATAGTTTACAGTTATTTTCAATCATTTGGATATGGTTAATTTTTACAGCATTAACTGTTGAATTCGCATTTGTTGATCAAATAATGCTAAATGCATCACTCCTAAAAAGTGAATACTCATATATATGTGTCATTTTAAAAATAAAGATCAGTTTTGCTACTAAATACTATACCAAAGTAATTTACAGATATTGTGGTATTTCTTACGTTATAGCACCTTTTGCAAGAAATGGGAATCAATATGTTTCAGCCTAGGAGAGAAACAGATAGTTATTAATAAAAGCAAGCATTTTTGTTTTCAGCACCACTCTTGCTAAGATACTGTGTAGAGTGCAAGCTCAAGGAGAGAGTAAAAAGTGCTTTAACAAACCTTTTTGGGCGACCGTTAAAATCTGACACCTTTCAGATTTTTTTCATCATTTATTTGTTTATTTATATTATTATTATTATTTCAATATTTGTTTCAGTGTTAACATTACAACAGACATAAATGAAATTTGGCATAGGAAATTTACAGAATAGGTATCACATATTACTTGATGTAATTCAGTAGCATTGGATTTGTTCTTTACGCATTCAATTAATTCGTGGCGTTCTTCGTTATAGTAATCGTACGGATTTCTAAAAATTCTGAAATCCTCATTCCAATGTTTGGCGTCAGGTCAAAAAGATATACCAGATCATAAGAAAAAGTATATCATCTTTTTTATCCGATGTTTCAAAGCATTCTTAATTATTAAAAACTATGCTTTAATTTATTAGTTCGTTCAATATGAACTTCAGCGTAACAACAACGATAAATTTTTCAGTAAAGTATTTGTTCTACCGTTTGTAACGGTAATATTATATCAGAAAAACTTGTGAGATGATTGCCTGTATATCAGAGTTTAAATTTATGTGAGGTTTTCTTATAATATCAACTGCCGAATTAAGAACATACGCAGGGATCATATTGATAATCATCATTTACCAAATTATTGGTAAAAAACACCAATTTACCAGTAAAACCTTTTAAGCAATTTTTTGCAAGTTACCTGAAAATCTCTAAACGGGGTTTAATACTATTACAACTCTGAAATGTGTTTGATACCGTAATGTGGAGTTTTGAAATAACGATTATCAGAAACATCATTTAAAGTTCTACAAAATCTGAGATATTTTATTTTAATATAAAATAATAATTTCTCTGGAAGGGTACAGATTACTTAGAAACTAAATTAAATTAAAAAAATTAATGAAGATGCAAAGAAATGAACTAAAACTTACCATGGCTACCAGAGTTCCAATTCTAACTTCTGAGGAGTTCTTAGATGAGGAATTTTCAGAGGTAGTATAGGAACTAACTCCTCTCTCTTTCCTTGGTGGTTTTTGCAACTCTCTCAGACTTCCTCCAGAGCAGTCATCGTAATTTTCATTTTTTGAGACTATATTTCTTCCCTACTCCCTTTCCAACGAACTCAAAAATAAATGGTAAAAGATAACACGCGTCTGGATATGAATACCTCAGCCACCAAATATGGAGACTGCGGCAAAGCCCAACACTGTTGGTCATTCCTTCTGCGTTTCTTAGTCACCGAACACTATGTAAACAACCAAACGTTTTGAGCGAAAAGTGAAAGAAGCAAGTTGTCGTTTTGTTCGAAAACTCTTTTGCTTTTTGAAGCTCGAGGTGATAAAAACCTGGATGGAACATGGAATGGCAGTTCTGGTGCCAGAGCACATTGAAAAAGCTTCTGGATGTTGGTAAGTAGAACCAACTTCTTAAGCTTATCTGGATAACTTTAACAAGATGCTCAACAAATTTTCTTTTAGCAATTATAAGGATATATATTGGTAGATACTAAATTGTTTTTCAAATTTCACTCAATCTGCAAGACAAAGGAAACGGTTAAAGGTTTTAATGCGAATTCGTTTAAATGATTTTTAAACATCATTTTATAAAATTACTACTAATCCAGACTTAATTTTAATTGGAGTTCCCCGAAGATAACTTCTGTCACATTCTTGCCACTAGGTGGCGGGCATCTCTTCCTTTACTTTTTGCTGTAATTAAGTTCCGAGAAGCAGTCGAGATTGGAACCGCTTTGAGGAGCGTAAAGACTCAGAGTTAAAAATGTACTGTCTTAAAATAATTATCACTTACCTTGTAAATAGGTGTATATTAGCGTTTTTTTGAATAAATAATTAAAAGACAAGATGGCCTGCTAATTGTAATAGAAACTCTTTACTGGAAAACGTGATTATTAGAAGCCTGGCGTCGAGAACACTGAAGATGCAGCAGGTAAGGAATTTTTACATTAATTTTTATTGTAAATAGAAGAACCTGATGCAACATTTTTTATGGCGCCCGAACAGGGACGCCAGGTTTTTTGAAAAGTTCTAATAAAGGTGAATTCAACAAGATGAATATAAAATTGAAGATTTTTAATACTTGTTCTTGAAGTATTCAGCAAAAGAATAATTTGTTTTCTAAGTAAGAGTTAAATATTTGTTTTTTCATGAGACGTATATTTTTTGTGTAAGTGTTTTGAAATCTAAGAAAGATAATGGCTGAAGTAGATAAATTAAAAAAAAAAAGAAGTATCTTAAGAACTGCCGTTACAAACTATTTAAGAAAATCGAAAGTGAATTAAATAAATCTGAATGTAGTATTAATGAGCTCGAAGAATTGTTAGAACAGCTTAATGCTAAAACCGAAACGCCTATCTAATGCCGATGTGGAAGTTGAACCAATTCTGAGTGTAGATGAATTCGAAAATGAATTCGAAATTACAAAACAATATCGCGAGATGATAACGTTATGGAAATTCAGGCTTAAACGGAATTCAGAAACGTATTAAGGAAATTAATCATGACCCTAGTGCGAAGATTTCAGTAGTTTCGGTCCAGGATAATGACTTAAATGCACCGAACACTCAGCAAAATATTAAAGATACACCTAATGTTAAATTACCAAAACTTTCGATTTCCGTATTTTATGGGAAAGAGTAGACAATGGCTTACTTTTTGGAAATAGTTTTCAGTATTCAATACATAATAACGAATCATTGAACAAAGTAGACAAATTTAATTCCCTGAAAGCATATTCAGGAGGAACAGCTGCTAAGTTGCGTTCAAGGACTTCCGTTATCGCCGAAACATTATGATTCAGCAATTCAAATCTTACACGACCGTTTTGGAAGGGAGAGACATTCTTATTAATGCGCACATGAATAATTTGCTGAATATTGAATCATTAAAAAATGCGAATGACATAAAAAAACATTTCGTAATTGTATGATAAAGTACAAACACAGATTAGATGTCTCGAAGCGTTAGATGTTGTATCGGAATCTTACAGCGCTTTGCTGTGTCCGATGATTTTGAAGTTATTGCCTTCAGAATTAACGCTTGAATTTCATAGAACACAAAATGTGGGCACCGATTATAACATAAAAGATTTAATGTCATTTTTACACGCAGAACTTTCATCCCGTGAACGCACGGGTCAACGGTTTCGCAACAGCAAAAAGTATCCGATCGGCGACAGTCTTCTTCCACCCTGGAACGAAAAGCGCATATGGTTTCTCAAATAGACATAATAAACCAAAGATTCCGACCCGCTACAGATTTGTTTACAAAATCCGAATGCAGAGAGGAAAATATGAAACTGCGTCTTCTGTAATCAGTTTCACAAGACTTATGACTGTAGTTTCGTTTTCCGGCTTATCATTACAAGAAAAAAAAAAAGGACATTTTTAAAAAGAAAATGTGCTTGCTATAAATGCCTAAAATTACACCATTTGGCTCAAAACTGCAGAACAAAATAACTTGTTCTATTTGTAAAAAACAACATGCAACTATATGTGTAATAAACAAATCCTTCTGTCGAGGTTTCGGAAATTAAAAAGACGAACAGATAGAAAATAAAGTACTTTCAAATCAAGCAGGATGTTCAGAAGTATATTTGCAAACTTTAATTGTTCGCATATATGGGAAGAGGGAATACCAATTTGTTCGAGCGATAATTGACACCGGAAGTCAAAACTCATACATAAGCAGGTATGCAGCAGAAAGGTTACAATTAAGAAGCTTAGGTGAACAAAGTGTAACCCACGCACTTTTCGGTGGCATAGAAGTTTCGGAAAAACAAACGTTTATAGAATAAAATTGGGTAGCGTATAAACGGTATAATTGCGAAATCAATGTATTGGATGAAAGAAAAAATATGTTCTTCGGTCCCTAAAAATCAAAAATATACACTGGATTAGGGAACTTAGAAGAAGAGGAATTTACGTCAGTGATGTTTTTGAAAATTGCAGATTATTCCAGGAGAACCCCCAAGAGATTCATTTGTTGTTAGGGCAGATGTTGCTGCAAATTTATTTACAGGGTAAAATCGAAGTTCTTCCTTGGGGAAGATTAGTTGCTGTAAGTACAAGACTTGGGTGGACAGTCATGGGGAAAGCGAACAACTGACAATTATGAATAGAAAAATTCCTTTTCCACGCTTTCGTATCTTTACATATTTCTGATGCCACGTTGTCAGAACTGTGGAGGCTTGATGTTATCGGAATAACAGATCCAGTTACAAAAAAGGCTAGAAGGAAAGGGATTTGCAAGCAAAATTGCAATTCGAAAATCCTGTATCTCTAAACAAGAAGGGCGTTATGAAGTCGCACTTCCGTGGGCGGAGAATCATGTACCACTCTCCCACCACAAGGATTTAGCGTTGAAACATCTACAATCTACTACCACCCAGAAACTTTTATCTCAAAATTTATTTTCTTCATACAATGCAGTTTTCATGACTGGGTGTAACTTAGGAGTGATCGAAGAAGTTAAAGAAAATATTGCGGTTGACTATGGACATTATTTACCGCATAGACCGGTGATCAAAGAAAATAGCTCAACACTAATTCAACCGGTGTTTGATGCGTCTGCGAGGAAACAATTGTCTCCTTCTCTAAATCAGTGTTTGGATTGTGGGCCAAATTTGATAGATCTAATTCCTTCTCTTTTGTTGTGATTTCGTGAAGGCAAGTTTGCTGCTATATGAGACATTGAGAAGGCTTTCTTACAGATCAGTGTAAAGCCTCAAGATGGAGACTGGCTTCGGTTTTTCTGGTGGAATGATGTGGAAGAAAAGAAAATGAAAATATTTCGTCATATTAGAGTAGTATTTGAGGTTAAGAGTATTCCTTTCCTTTTGGCAGCTGTTATAGAATTCCATCTACTAAAGTACATAAAAAATTCTTCATATGATACGGAGATGATAGCTAAACTCTTGCCTAGCTTCTACGTAACGTTGTTGCCAGTTTTGAAAGATCCGAGATGATCCATTTTATAAAATCTCGAAAATAATGATGAGGAAATTAATCTTCGGGTTGGTTAATAACGGAGATAACTTGAAACATGAAACTTTCACCCGTATTGGGTTGGTTATGGAACTCTCAAAAGATAATTTAACTTTGAATCTGAATGGCTAGAAATTTTGAAATGGGAAATAACGAAGAGAACATTCTCGCTGTAACACACAAAATATTTGATCCTATTGGTATTGTGAGCCTTCTCTTGTATCCTAAAATAATTGTTGCAGAACCTATGGAAAACAGGAATTTCTCTTGGGATACTGAAGTTGAGAGTACAAAACAAAATTTTGTGAATTGGGATAAAAGCTTTTTCTCTTAAAAAATATCCCTCCTACGTTGGATACATCAGCACGGACAATAGGAAGTTCTGAGCATTCACACATTCTGTGATCCAGTAGTAATGCGATGCTGCTGCAGTTTTCTTGAGAATGTGACGAATTCTGGGTTGAAGTTCTCTGTTTGCTCGAAGTTAGAGTAGCCCCGTAAAATCTATTTATCCCTCGTTCTGGAATTGATAGCTGCCACATAGGTCCGACTATGCTTTCTGTTTTAAATGGTTTAATGGCAAATGTGGAAATTTTTGGACGGATTCTACAACAGTTTTGACATGGATTCAAAGGGAAAGATTGTCTTGGGCTGTCTTTGTGGAAACAGAGTCAGGGAGATTTGGAAACTGGCGGATCCAAAACGTGGAAACATTGCTGAAACAAAAATCCAGCTGACCTCCCATCAAGAGGTTGCACCCCCAAACAACTTTTAGTAGTTAGGGTGGGAGGGCCCCGACTGCTGAAAAAAATCAGAAAAGGGCCAAGACAAAGGAAATCCGGACATGGAAATAGTGATTCAGAAAAAAGAAATCAGTCTTTCTGCACTAACGCCAAAGGGTAGAACATTTTTTTTGAGAATATTCATCTACCATAAAATGTTAAGAATAACTGCTTTATTGCAGATTTATCAACAACTGCAGAAGACCAGATTCTAAACAATCAGAACTCACTCTTCCTGAAATAGAAACCGTAGAAAAGAAAATATGCAAGATTGTGCAGATAGAAGCATTTGGATAAGAACTTAAAGTTGGAAATCTTTGCACCTTTATTGACTCAGATGGCCTTATTCGGTTAAAGACCGAGATTACTAGAAGAGAGGAAGAAGAAAACTTTCTCTGTCCAATTGTATTGCTCTCGAATCATAACTTAGTTCATAGGTTAGATTTAGATTACCATTTGCGATTGTCTCACGCTAGTGTGCAATTCGTACTAGCCAATATTCGACAGAAATTCTGGGTCCTGAGAGGAAGAAAAACAAGTACGTTAAAGTTCTTATGAAGTGTGTTCGGCTGTAGAAGATATAGCGCAAAGAATATAGAGACTGTTCCAGCACCTCTTCCTGAAG